AGAAATGCTTATGTGAGAATTCAGAGATTTCATTTGTTGTACATGTGGTTTGCTGAAGTTGGCTCATGCAAGCTCCTGAGAGCTTGATAATTAAATTAAAAACATTCTGCAAGCTTGTTGGTTGTTAAATGCAATTATTACTAAAAATTAAATTATATTAGCATGTAAGTACATAAATTGTATTATAAACAAGGTAATACATTCTTAAAACTTAACACTTCCTAATTATTTTACTACATTTTACCATTACCTGTGCTCTTGAGGCTATTTATATCTATTACTTCTGTACCATGGAAATACGAGTCCTATCTAATGGAATGCCACAGTGGGTTTAACTCCATGTTCAGTAACTTTAAGTTGGTAGCTAGAAATTGGCCAGAGTGGGAGTATTTATACCACAGAAATTGACAAATGCTGCAAATCAAAGCTCCTTCTCCCCCACTACCCGTGCCTCCACCACTTAGAGTTCCAGTTGCTGAACATTTACCGAACATCCTGGGTTCTCTCATAGAACTGTTTAAAGGATTGCATTAAACAACTTTTCTCATAAGATAACCTGAACTCTCATTAGTTAATAAACCCATTTTACATGCTAGAGAAGTTGGGGAGTGCGTTTGAATGTAGAACTGCTCACTGTTTTTCCAAGCAGATTAACCCAAGGTTTATGATCAAAGTCACAAGACTGCCTTCCAGAGCTAAGCAGTCCATTTTAAATAGGTTACACCACTGTTTGTTTTATTGTGGCAAGAGACATTTGGCCCAACATTTCCTTGAATTTTGGAATATCAAGACAATAATTTATTTCAATGAATATTAAGGGATAAAAATAGGAATAGGTAGATTGCACAGGAAAAAAACTTAATTACTGATCTTGAAACATGCCATAGTGTTTGGAAATATTTCTCGATTTTATTTTTCTTCACATATGCTTTTATCTTTATGGCTTGGCCTGGGGAAACAATGCCAGAGGCTGTGTTGTCTATCTTTTTTTGGCAACAATCTTGTCTCAATTTTATAAGCCAAATAGAAAGTTTAGAAAAAGAGCTAAAACTTCACAAATGTGTGTGTGTATGTTTATTAACAAATCTTTTGACTTCCTTCTGGATTCAGTAGATATAGTTCATGAGAACTGATGCTGACAGCCTTTTCTCCCCTTTCAACATTTCTAGCAAAAATTAAAGGTCAAAGTCTTTTACCTAATCATGAAAGTATAACCCTGTGCAGCAAATTATTTTTTCTGCAAATGTTGCATTCCCTGTAAAGAAAACATTTAAGGATATAGTCTTTGAGCTTTAATTTGAGGTTTTTTTTTTTAGAACAGTTTTATTATTATTATTATTAGACTGTGTATAAAATAACTTAGCCTGGAAAAGAGAAAACTTGAGAGGAGGTTTAATAGGAGTCTTTTCTTCCTCCCAGCTTTATTGAGGTATAATCACCAAATTAAAATTGTTTATATTTATAGTGTACAGTGTTTTGACATACATATAAATTATGAAATGATCACTACAATCAAACTAACAAATTCATCACCTAACATTGTTGTCATTTCTTTTTGTGCTGAAAACGTTTAAGATCTGTTCTCTTAGCAGTTTTCAAGTGTGCAGTACATTATTATTAAGTGTAGTTACCATGTGGTACAGTAGATCTGCAGGACTTACTCATCCTGTCTGACTGAAACTTTGTACCTTTCACCAGCATATCTCCATTCCCCCCATTCCCCAGAGCCTTGGCGTGCATTAGGCTACTCTATGCTTCTGTGTTTTCAACTTTTTAAAATTCCACGTGTAAGTGAGGTCACGTGGTATTTGTCTTTCCATGCCTGGCTGATTTCACTTAATATAATGTCTCCCCAGAGCCTTGGCGTGCATTAGGCTACTCTATGCTTCTGTGTTTTCAACTTTTTAAAATTCCACATGTAAGTGAGGTCACGTGGTATTTGTCTTTCCATGCCTGGCTGATTTCACTTAATATAATGTCCTCCAGGTTTATCCATGTTGTTGTGAATGACAGGGTTTTTGTCTTTTTTAGGGCTGAATAGTATTTTATTATATATATCACATTTTTTCTATTTATTCATTTATCGGTCGACACTTAAAGGTTGATTCTTTATCTTGGCTATTGTGGATAATACTGCAATGAACATGGCAGTGCAGATATCTCTTTGACATACTGATTTCATTTTCTTTGGATATATACCCAGAAGTGGGATTGCTGTATCATAGTTTTAATATGCTGGTTCTATTTAACATTTTTTGAGTATTGTCTATTCTGTTTTCCATAATGGATGTGCTAATTTATGTTTCCACCAACAGAGTAGCAGGGTTTCCTTTTCCCCACATCTTTGCTAACACTTATCTTTTGTCTTTTTGACAACAGCCATTTTAAGAGGTGTGAGGTTATATCTCATTGTGGTTTTGATTTGCATTTCACTGGTGATTAGAGATGTGAAGCATGTTTTCATATGCTGGTTGGCCATCTGAATTTCTTCTTTTCAGAAGTATCTATTTATGGCCTTTGCCCATTTTTTAATTTGGTTATTTGTATTTTTGGCATTGAGTTAAATGTGTTCCTTATATGTTTTGGATATTAAACTACTATTGGATATATGGTTTGCAAATATTTTTTCCATTCTACAGGTTGCCTTTTCATTGTGTTGATTGTTGCCGTTGCTATGCTAGCATTTTAGTTTGATGAATTGCCATTTGTCTATTTTTGCTTTTCTTACCTGTACTTTTGGGGTAATATCCAAAAAAATCATTACCTAGACCAGTGTCAAGAAGTTTCTCCTCTTTGCTTTCTTCTAATAGTTTTTCAGTTCTAGGTCTTATTTTTAAGTCTTTAGTCCATTTTGAGTTAATTTTGCATATGATGTGAGATAAGGATCCAATTTCATTCTTCTGCATGTGGGTATTGTTTTCCCAACACCATTTATTGAAGAGACTGTCTTTCCCCATTGTGCGTTCATGACACATTTTGTTATAGATTGATTGACCATAAATGCATGTGTTTATTTCTGGAATCTCTCTTCTGTTCCTTTGGTCTATGTGTTTGTTTTTATTCCAGCACCATGCTGTTTTGATTACTACAGCTTTGTAGTTTATTTTGAAGTCAGGTAATGTGATGCCTCTAACTTTATTGCTTTTGTGCAAGATTGCTTTGGCTATTTAGGGTCTTTTATGGTTCCATATGAATTTTAGGGTTGTTTTTTCTATTTCTTTGAAAAATGCCATTAAGATTTTCATAGACATTGCATTGAATCTGTAGACTGCTTTGGGTATGTAGATATTTTAACAGTATAATTCTTCCAGTTTATGAACATAGGATATCTTCCCATATTAATTGTGTTCTTAATTGTGTTCTCTTCAGTTTCATTCATCAGTGTTTTATAGTTTTCAGTTTACAGATGTTTCACCTCCTTGGTTAAATTTATTCCTAAGTATTTTATTTTTTGATACTATCATATCTTGTATTCTTAGTTTCTTTTTGGATAGTTTGTTGTTAGTATATAGAAATGCTGTTGATTTTTGTTTTGTATGTTGATGCAACTTTAATGAATTTGTTTATTTGTTGTAACAGTCTTTTGGTACAGTCTTTAGGGTTTTTAATATCTGAAACCATGTTATTTACAAACAGATAATTTTACTTCTTCCTTTCTAATTTGGATGGCTATTTTTTTTCTTGCCTAATTTCTCTGACTAGGACTTCCAGTACTAAGTTGAATAGAAGGGGTGAGAGTGGGCATCCTTGTCTTGTTTCTAATATTAGAGAGAAAGTTTTCAGCTTTTCAGTGTTGAACATAATGTTAGCTGTGGGCTAGTCATATATGGTCATTACTATGCTGAGGTACTTTCCTTCCATACCTAATTTGTTGAGAGCCTTTATTATGAGAGGTTGTTGAATTTATGTCAAATTCTTCATCTTAATCTATTGAGATGATCATGTGATCTTTATATTTCATTCGGTTAATGTGATGTATCATATTTGTTGATGAGCATATGTTGAACTATCTTTGCATCCCAGAATAAATCCCACTTGATCATGGTTTATGATCCTTTTAGTGTGCTGATGAATTTGATTTTCTAGTATCGTGTTAAGGATTTTTACATCTATATTCATCAGGGATATTGGTCTGTAATATTCTATTTTTGTAGTGTCCTTGTCTGGCTTTAGATGCTGGCCTTGTAAAATGAGTTTGGAAAGTTTCTCTTATCTTCAATTTTTGGAAGCGTTTGAGAAGGATTGGTGTGAATTCTTTAAATGTTTGGTAGAATTCACCAGTGAAGCCATCTGGTACTGGGAATAGGGGTCTTTATGAATATGAAAGTCTTATCCTGAGAATGGTAATGAAAGATAGCCACTCTCATTTTCCACTGAGAAAAACAAATTTAAATGACATGTAAGAAAAGCATTTCACAATGTAAGAATTGCTAAAGTTTTTAAATCAGTTACATATTGAAATTACTGAATCTACTCTGGAGGTCTAAGCATAGGATTAATGGTCAAGATTGGTGTATGTGTGGTCTTGGCCTGATCATAGTGAGATAAAATAGATAAATGCAAAAATCGACTTCTAGGGCAGAGAGTCAAATCACAACTCACTAATTTGAAAATCTGCATTTTGAAGGGTGCTTTTTGCTCAGCTTTGTGGCATGGTGAAGAAGTATGAATCATGAAATCATATATTGATATAAGCATAAATACATACTATATATATTTACACACACATGTAAAAACATAGATTATGTGAAATGAATGTTGTTAACCTCGGTTTAGTTCTTAAGTCATTATATGGAAGTTGTAAATATATAATTAATAAAATCTTATTACAAAACTTACTGTTATTATACTGGATTGGCATTGATGTGTCAGGAAAGCAAAAATTTTTTGTAAGATGACTAAAGTTTCAATATTTGTGAATATGTATTTCACAGATTTATTTTTTTATCTGCCATCTTTTAGATTGTCAGTATTTTAATATATCATTCCTATGTTCTTAGTTACTGACAAACACCAATTCAAACCAGAACAGATGTTATATCGGTTTCGCTATGATGATGGAACATTTTATCCAAGAAATGAAATGCAGGATGTAATTTCAAAGGTAACAATCTTTCTCATAACCTATTTAATAGCAGAATTCATGTTGTAATACTTCAGAAAAATAAAAAGCTGTTTAGAGACTTTAAAAATTATTCTAGCATTTAAATTACATATACAAACCTTTTAATTTATTTTTCATATTTCAAAAATACTAAGTTAGATTGTTTTTTTTCATTTTCTTAGCTAGTTCTAAATGGAAATACTGCTAGTGCATCACTCAGAAGGTTATGTTCATAGAAAACTTTCACATGTAGCAACATGTGGTTATGATACTTGAATAAATTTAAAATATACAAATATGTAAAATAAATGTAATACCAATTTTCTTTGTACAGTTGACAAAATGTATATTGACATATGGATGAACAAATATTATAGATGTATTATTGTATGTATTTATTTTCTTTTTAAGTTAAGTCTAGAAATTCTACCTTCTAAGAAAAATAATTTAGAAAAAACTTTGTGTATGTATATATGTATACAACATATATATGACGAATTTATAGCATAATTTAATCCTAGTCTTTAATGATTTAAATCATATTAGTTTTATGATGTAATGCAACATTTGAATAATTTTTAAATTGGTGGAGTTTGTGCAATGATTCCAGAATGTTGACAATAAATTCATTTATTTCAAAATTTCATTGGCATGTCCCTTTAGTGATCTTGCTTGCTTTTGACATATCTCTATTTTGCATAGGGTGTAAGATTATATTGCCGTCTTCATAGTCTGTTTACTCCAGTGATAAGGTGAGTCTGGTTTTTAAGTTCTGGGAGACTTAAATGGAAGTATTTATATTGCGTATTAGGTATACAGTATTCAGCAAGAATGTATTTTATTTTTCTTCCAAAAGTGAAAATTTTGCTTTTAAATATTACTTTAAGTAATAATTTATCTTAAAATATCCTTAAATTTCTCTGAGCTTCTGATTCTACAATATCTTCTACTCTTTTGTTATGATTTCTAAAATTATTTTGCTGTTAATTTGCAGTTAATTATAGACTTGATAATGAAACAGTCCACATTTGGTTAATGTTTAATAAATAGTAGTTGACTGATTGGGAGAGGATTTGAAAATACTGTTTAAATATTTACCATTATGATTACTTGTATATTAACTTTCCAATAATCTTTTTTCCAAAGAAGAGATTTTGTACTTGAAAATTAAGAATTACTTTGGAGTTAATTCGTATAATTTTATAATTTTATTCTCTATCATGTTTTCCCTTCTGTTGAATCATGCCTTTTAAAAAAAAAAAAACGAGGAATCGGGGTTAATTTTCAACTTATCTTATTAGAAAGACAATGGAAAACGGAGTTTTGTATTATGATCACTTACAGAGTAGGTCTTCAGTAGTATTGCTGTACTTTTGTAATGTACATTTATATACATTAACTGATAGAATGTTAAAATAATTCCAAATGGCCAGATGTTATTTGAAGTTTATTGACTAAATCATATTTTCAGAACTAAATTGCATGTACCATTTTCAAAATGAATAAAGATGCTTTTCAATCTTGGCTATAAAAGCCAAATGTTTGATGTGTACAGTGTTTCTGTTTTTTATTCTGATTTCCAATTCCAAGGAATTCTGAAATTTAAAAAATTAAAAAGATTCGAGAATTTGCTGTGTAAGTACATTGGAATGGCCTCTCATGCTGCATGGAGAACACATTGCATATAGGTTCTAGATAAGAAAACAAGAGCTTACCTGTTACTCCTGAAAGTGTCATGTCTGCTTTCACAAGAAGGCTTTGCAAAGTAGAAAGAGGTGGAAAAGAATAAATGTTGATTCTCTGCCATAATCCTGTCACAGATACCACGCAAATATTTTGCATAACTTAATACTAAGTACTTAACTCGATAGCAACTGGGTACTTAATTTTTTTTTCTGCTAAAATAGTAAAAAACAATAATGGTTTAATTCTCTGTCATCTGTGTATATGTGGATTTTGTATGTGCAATACTGTGTTCTGTAAATATATTTTAACCATATGAGATTTCCTATCAAAGTTACATTACATCTTACAGAGGAGCGGGTAAGAAGGAATTGTTCTTTGGCTAGAAAAAATTGTTTATTAGTTGTCAAGGGAAAATTTATGAGAAAAAAACCATAAAACAGATGGAATGTGTGATAGCATGCTTTTAATATGTGTGCATTTGGCTTACAAAAAGGAAAGTTACTGGGCCGGCCCGGTGGCACAATGGATAGTGCGCCACTTGGGAAGCGCGGCAGCGCTCCCGTCCGAGGGTTCGGATCCCACGTACAGACCGGCTCCCGCTCACTGGCTGAGCGAGGCGCGGGAGCAACGCCGAGGCTTGCGATCCCGTCGCCGGTCCCCGGTCCGGTACGGGGGCAACACTGAGGGTTGCGATCCGTTGCCGGACACGGAAAAAAGACAAAAAAAAAGACAAAAAAAAAAAGGAAAGTTACTTGGCGTGAAGATCCACAGACCCATGTTTTGTCTCTAGTGGACGATCCTTTTCTTATCAATACTCATGGAAACCAAGATGAAATGGGAGATGATATGTCAGAAACATGGAAACAGATTTAAAAGATTTTTTAAAAAATGCTATTTATTGGGCCGGCCCGGTGGCGCACTGCTACAGTGCGCTGCTTGGGAGCGCGGTGGCGCTCCCGCCGAGGGTTCAGATCCCACATACAGACCGGTTCCCGCTCACTGGCTGAGCGAGGTGTGGGAGCAACACCGAGGGTTGCGATCCCGTTGCCGGTCCCGGTCCGGTACGGGCGCGACACTGAGGGTTGCGATCCGTTGCCGGACACGAAAAAAGACAAAAAAAAAAAAAATGCTATTTATTGGCTAACCTAGTTCACTTATTATTGAAATCTGAGAAATTTCAACCATTTATTAGGAAGCCTTTTCTATGGAAGTGGGTATAATGATGTGAATATTAATTATAAGTTACTGACATAGGCTAAAGGATAGTGAAGGTAACTACTAATTATTAGTTACTTTACATTTTTTTTGCAGTTTGGATCTTTGACATTTTGATAAGACTGTCATTTTCTTATTCTCCTTTGATCCAGGCCTGCAAAATAAATGAGTTGTAGATTTCTGCCCTTGGGGCCCAGTTTGGGTCAAGAGAGTTTGTTGGTCTCTAAACTTTGAATGATTTCTCCGTTCTGGGAAGTCTCCTGAATGGGAAGTCTGATGTGGATAGCCAGTTGACTCCCCAGGTTCCCTGGGAATGTGGTGTCACTATGTCTGTGCATTGAGACAAAACGAATGACAAGTTCTCAGTGTGTCTTCTTGTGGTCCGGCCTGCAGAGCTGTATGTATAATCCTGTAGGGCAATTCCAGCCTTCCTGGAGAATTCGGGAGGGGGAATAAAGGGTGTTGCTTTATTTTCCACATTTTGAGAAGTTTTTTAGCAGAATCTACCATGAATTAAAGGGAAGAAATTCTATTTTATTATTCTTTTATTAATGAGATGTTTTATTTTAGCTAAATTATTACAAGATAGTACAGCAATAAAAATCTATTTGGTTATAAGAAAATGTGGAAGAAGAGATGTCCTGTTTTGGTATCCTTATGGGTCTCTTCCCCTGGTATGAGCTGATGAAGGATTTTTCAGGTGTTGTACATACTTTGTAAACTTCTCTTATTTGCACATAATTTGGGCAATCAATTCAGAGTACATTGGTAAACTTTCCTCTTGTCCGGCTACTAAATGAAAACTTTCTTATGTGTATTATGTTCATTTCATAAGTACTTTTGTCTAAGTAGAAAAGCTTTTACTTGGTATTGTATAAGACTTAATAATTCCTCATCCTTGGTATTTTAAACCTTTAAGCAGCTTTTATTGATTATGTGGTTAAATGCTTCTCAGAAGGTACCTATGATATTATTTTTTCTCTTTGAAATATGGAGCTTGAAAATATGAGTCAGTCAATGAAGTTGTAAGGATGTTTCATGAAAAAAATCAGGCATTGTTTTCAGCTTTCCTATAAAATTGTAAGAGTATTAGCCATGGAAAAATATTTCTGGAGACATTTACATGATAAATTCTTGGTATGGATTCATTTTAGAAATAAAAATTAGTTACCATTAAAAAAAAAAAAAAACTTTCCTTGCGCTCACTTATTCTCTTGCTTAATGTTTTTGCTTTTTTTTTTTTTATCTTTATAGAGATAAAGATTACCATTTAAGAACCTACAAATCTGTGGTCATGGCCAACAAACTGATAGACTGGTTAATTGCACAGGTAAATAGACAAACAGAAGTTTCTAAGTTTCATTCTCTGCTGCTTTAAACTTTGAGCATGTGAGTTAGGTACCATTTTTTTTTTAAACAATATCTGCCTACAAATGAGGCACAGTGAAGTAGCTTGCCCAAGTTTATACAGGTGATATGAAGCAGAGTTAGGATTTGAACCTAGATAATCAGACTTAGGAGTCCTTAAACTTAACTTTTATGTTATCTTGTCTTTCAAAAGGAAGATGTTCCTATTTTAAAAATATCAGCTGAGATCCATCAAAGAACACGAAGCATAATTTGAGTATAAGTGAAGAATTGCTATGCTCATAGACTAAAAAATTTTTGATTTTTTTTTCACTAATTTATTTTAAAATATCTGTTTGTTTATTAGTCCTAGCAAGTTAGTCTAATCTCCCTGTGTCTTTTTTCCTGTTAGATAACAATTGTGCTTTGAAAAATGAGCTTTAATATCTGCCTTCATATACGTTAAATAGAAAAGTACAGAATTTATTGTTGTTATTTTTGCTCTGCTTTGAGCAAAAGCAGGATTTGAATGCTGGCAGGTGGTATTGAGAAGATGTTATTTGCTTATAAGTGAAACAAATTAGGAATATCTAGCCTATCATAATAGATATTCAAATATAAATTTATTTAATTTTCTCATATTAGGTCAACTAATAAATGATCAAATGTTTTCAACCGATTAAAGAAAAGGCTAAGAAAACTGATATCCACTTTAACTGAACTTACTATTTTGGGGAGAGAAAATTGCTTAGTTGAGATGTAAGTCATTATGTTTGGATAAGTGAGTCAACTTCATAGCAGTTTTACTTTTTTGTTCTTAAAGGGACTTACTTTCTTTGTTACGAGTAGCTAACATTTGATATTTCATTATGAAATGTTTATATTTTTGTTTCAGTTGTTATGATCCATATTTGGTTCATCTGTGCACATCCATTTTGAGATTTTTATTTAATATTAATTTCTAGTCTGTTCAAGACCACCTATTTTTGTGTTTTGTAGCACTTATTTGTTATATTTAGAACTTCAGATTTTAGAAGAAGCCAAACAATTTCCTTTAGATAAAACCCTAATTCATATTTCCGGTGGCTTTACACTGTGTTTTTTAACACTGTGGTCAACGCGTGTCACTGGAATCAGTTCTGTATTCAGAATCAGAGTTGGAATTTCACACAGAGATTATACTGCTATAGAATTCCTGTGAACTTATATAATATGTTGATTATGTGCAAAAACTGAGGAAAATTTATTTGAAAAGCTGGTGATGAATAAACATTTAAAGTTCTAACTCAGGAAGTCAGTTATTAACTTTTTCTTGGCACTTTTACTTTCCAAAGGTGAGCATTACAAAAGTAGAATAAACTGCTCAGAAATAAACCAAGTTTCAGTTATTTTTTTCTTCAGTTTCTTTTAGTGGTCTGTTATGACATTATCTGTAGAAATGGTACATAGTAGAAACTGCATTGTATTAGGACTCAGGCAGTATCTGATCCTGAGATACCAGGACTCAGACCTGGTATCTGATGCCAGCTCTGCTAATAACTAGCTATATAAACGTGGGAGAGTCACATGATCTTTCTGGATTTTAGTTTTCACAACTGTTTACCACTTACTGGAATAGCTATACATGTCATCTTTTCCCTATCACCGAAGGTGTAATTCTGATACTGCAAACCTTATCCAAATTGAAGTATCGGACATAACCCACTCAAATTAAGCTTCAAATTAAGACCACATGGGCTGCCTTGGAAGAGAAAGACATAGTAAATCAATGATAAGAGAATAAGTTAAAGTTCTAAATCTGATATGAAGGGTTTTTTTTTTTAAATATAAAAAGTAATGGTCTCTTTCCTCCAAGACTCTCAAATGATTCTTAATTTCCAGTGTTGACTAGAACAGAGTTAATTTGGACACGTTTAGAGGACAAAGTAAAGAACTGGCTCTAATACGATTGTGTACATATTGTTTGGGGGTATATTCTAGATCCCACAGTTTTTCTCTTATTCTGCAATATATGTTATGTGATGTCATCTTGGAAAACATAATGACTTCTGTTTTCTTCTGAATACGTTTTTCACTTGCTTTTGGGTTGCTTCCATTATAACAGTTTATGGTAAAATAACTTATTCCATGCAGTTAACTCCTTATTTGATAAGTGCATCAATTCATGTAAGATGTGACTCATGTATGGAACACTCATGTTTTGTAACTAAATAATGCTTTGCTTCTTCTCCCCCAGGCAATTTTTGTTCTGCCATTTTTTTTTTTAATGCTCATGTGGTCTATGTGGCACAAGTAGGATTGTTGAAAGGCATAGGGCTTCCAAAACATTTTAGAACACATTTTTTACACCATTTTATTCAGTATAATATGCGTTTGGCCAGTGTAGTGTTTGAATGATTGATCAAATAAAGCAATCAAATGTCAATGATTATTAAACAAGCTGTTTTTGTAAGCTTAACATTTAAACAAGTGCTTTGATGATTAAAATAAAATAAGCAAAACAGGAAGCAGGCATAGTTTCTGCCTTCAAGGGACTATTAGTCAATTGGGCTCATTTTTATAAACACTCTAGGATTCTGCTCCAGTATCATGTACCCCAGGAAGATTTGCCAGGTCCTCTAACTTGCTCAGGGTCTTCTTCTGTGGGCCTAGTTCCCTGGGTATATCTCCTGATCGTGAATGTTGACTAAATTGGAAAATAGTACTTACTATATACCACATTTTAAGTGACTAGATCCTTCACTGGATTTGAATAACTCCAGGGCAGGTTACTGTTTTATGTATGAGTATTTTAATATTTTGTTTCTAGCACTTGGCACAATATGTTGGAAAAAAAATAAATCTCTTTTTAATGAATGCATGAAAATTATAAAACAGCTAGATTTTTGAAGAAGGTAAGATGCATAATCTGAAGTTACAGATTATTAATGTTTTGGTAGTTAACAGGAGGATTAGATTAGTGAAGGTTGGAATTGTCATAGCATGAGGTGGAATTTATCTTGGTCCTTTATAGACAGAATTTCAGTGGGCAAAGGGTAAAGAGAGGGCATTGTAGGTATATTAGAGAGAGTACAGAAAAAAAATTATGATGATTTAGAAGAAAGGTAAAGCAACACCAGATTACGGTGTTGACAATAGAAATGGAATAGAAGCCAGGGAGAAGAGAAAATGGATTTGGTAGAGTACCCAAGTGCTAAAAGACAGGATTAGGAGAAAATGTGGTAATGTGTCAGAATTTCTTTAACTGTAAAACATACAACTGGATGGTTATATATACACACACACACACACGCACACACACACACACGCACACAGTAATTTATGCATATTTATAAACATGGATCCATACTTACATGAATAAAATGTGTGCTTTCTAGATCAAAACCAAGAAAAGCTTGCTTTGGGCTGTTTGGTTGGGTTCAGTTATGGGATCTGATTATTTTCTCAGCAAAGCAGTGTAAGAGAAGCTTGCATTTGCTGGCTCAGCCAAACAATTTACTCTTAAGGTCTTTCAAGTCACCATAGATTAATAGGTTTCTTTAGGGGGTCCTTAAAGAGCAAGGCAATTTGGTGGAAGGGAAGAGTTAATGGCCGAGATCATGCATAATGATTTTTACTTATCTTTATTTAGTGTGTTGTCAATTTACAAGATATTTCCCTGTTGAATACTGGGATACAAGATCTAATAAATAACAGAAAGTCGTCATTTATAGTAGCAATAAATTTTAGGTACTTATATTTTCATGTTTAGTATGGTTTTTCTCAAGAAACATTATATCTTTGCTTTTCATTTAATGTCAAAAGAACATGTCTTCATAAAGTGAGTGTTTTATGACAATTAGATGCATCCTGTCCTATGAAGCAATGCATGTTGTAATACATGGAAGGCTTTGTCTGAATACAGTGCTCGGAATGTCAAAGGTTGTAATGATGCAACAAAGCCTTCAGTTGCCTATTAACTAGCACGGTGCTTTTTTGGTTGACAGGGGGATTGCCGCACCAGAGAAGAGGCAATGATACTTGGTGTTGGACTCTGTGACAATGGATTTATGCACCATGGTAGGGATCTTTACCCTGGAAGCTTACAGATGTGTGTTTCATTGTTTTGGTTCTTCTTAGTACACTGGGACACTCGTGCTTCAGTGAGGTCATTTAGAGATGAACCAGCAAGACTTTCTGAGTCTTGCCATGGGTCCATGTCGGGTCACCACATCTGCATTCAGTTTCACTGCTGGTGCCAGTCCTTTGTCGAATTACTGTTATCTCCTAGTTGCCATGACTTCTGTTCTATTTTTCTAGATTGTGCTGATTCCAGAAGAGTAATGGCTTGAACTAGAAGATTTTTTTTTTTAAATCTCATATATCCTGTTAAAACTACTTCAGATAGGACTCATGGTTTTTCTGAATGGTGGTATATATTAGAATGATTAAATGAGAGCATATGTATATGGTTGAATATTTATTGTTCTTATTAGGAAGAAATCATAGCATTTTAGGAAATTAAAACTATAATATCAAGCTTAAAACCTTCAAAAGTTTCAATTATCTTTCTCTTTAACATGAAGCATCAGCAAGTAGTAATTTTATCTAAACGTCTATTGTAAAATATTGAGTTACAACTAGAGTTTTCCTTGCAAAAGTCTGTCAGTAAAGCATACGCAGCTCAGCTCCTGCTGGCTTTATTGATGTCCTGTCTTGCTGCTTCTGACAGACTGTTTGGTGGAGGAAAACAGCTGGAGCAGAAATACCATGTGAGCTTTGGAAACTGCTTAGATCATTAACTCAATCTAAAACATATTCTCATTTCTATTGTCAACTATGGCTTGTGTAGCTTTTTGATTTGTGGTTGATAGCTTCATTTAACTCATGCTGCCAACCAGTCTTCCATTCAAAGATCAATACATCCATTCATCTGGTCAACAATCATTTGTTGGAACTCTGTAAAAATAATGAAATAAAATAAAAGTCCTTTCTGATTGCTTACTGTACTCGTATGCTAAGTTATTTACATTTATTACCTCATTTTAGTTTAATGCAACATTATGTAGGTTTTATTTCCCCGGTTTTGCAGATGAGGAAATTGAAGTTCAGAGGGTTAAACAACTTTCTCAATGCTACATTTAGAATCAATCCCAGACCTGGAATTTAAACGCAGGCCTGTCTTTTCACAAAGGCTAACTCTTCCTACTGTGCCATGGGACCACTGCCTTACCTGGCTCAGTGAACCAATGTGACCCAAGTACACTGCAAGGTACTGAGGACAGATAAATAAAAAAATAGAAAAGATTTTTCTTTTAAAGTATCTTGACAGCTGACAGGTTCTCACTGCATATAAATTCTTCTTATCAGTATTTAGTCTTATTTTTTAAAAAGCTAACAAAACATGAACCTTATATCTTCAGTGCATGTCAGGGATCTTGGGAAGTTTGGGGAAAAATGTTAATGTTCAGATAAAGGGGCAAAAACTGACCTTTGCAGAAATAAGGTTATTTCAGAACATTGCTTTTAAAATGGACAAAACTAGGAATTCTTGGAAACTAAAATCACATTTCACCCAGAAGACATATTTCTGGTTGGAAGTGTTGGAAAAAAAGTGACCACAATGGGACTTGCTTGCACACAGAAGGGCAGCACTTAATCCATTTGAATTTTCCCATAATTGTGCAGGATATTAAAAACATGCTGAAAATGTTTACTACAACTCGAAAGCACCATAGAATTTTATGTTTTGGATGGCATGCATTTTTGGATTCATTATAGTCTTTTATTTAGATTTAGATTTTAATCTGGAAAGTGACTGTACAAAAAAGTTAAGTACAAAAAAGTTAACATTCAAAAAATACTGCTTTTAAAAATTCAAAATTCTTTAGGTAACAGTAGTTTAAAGGAAACATTGGCTAAAAATTATAGAAAGGAAAAAAAATCCTAGGGGTATTCGTGAATGTAACTTGTTCTAGGAGTATAAAGCTGAGGTCATGGGGCAGGTATTAATTTACCAAATGCCATTGGTATGAAAAATGAGTTTGATTTTTGGATTAATTGAAGCAATTTGAATCTCTCTATGTTTCTGTAGTCCTTGAAAAAAGTGAATTCAAAGATGAACCCCTACTTTTTCGTTTTTTTGCGGATGAAGAAATGGAAGGGTCAAATATGAAACATCGACTTATGAAACACGATTTAAAAGTTGTGGAAAATGTTATAGCTAAATCGTTATTGGTAAGTTCATTAATATGTTATATATGTTCCCTTCTTGATTAGACATTAGCAGGAAACTATAAGCATGTTTGATTGTGATGCATATTACTTCATGCTGTTTGATTTGTAACTTTTTTTCATAATTGCTTTGTTAATAATGTTAATATTTTGCATTTCAGATTAAATCTAATGAAGGCAGCTATGGATTCGGGCTAGAAGACAAAAATAAAGTTCCAATAATAAAGTTGGTAGAAAAGGGGTCTAATGCAGAGGTAATACAAATTAACATTTTTACTTAAACTTTATGTCATGACACACAAACTTGGTATAAAAGTTCTAAACAAATTGAAAGCAGGCTCTAAGTATCTTTATTGAAGATGATGTTTCTGTATAATCTTACTCTGCAATTCTACCAAATACCTTTGGGATTTGCGGCACTCAAGCCATGTCTGGACACTCAGGGATAACTGGGGGCAGGAGATGGTGGTATTCTAGAGAAGAGCAGCTGTGAACTTCCTGACCTCCTGGGAGGTCAAGTGGCTCAGTCTGTGTCCGTGGGGCTTCCCTAATCACAGATTCCAACCTGGAACCCCATGTGGACTGCATTGGGTGGGACCATATTATGTATGTTAGAAGGTTCTTCCATTCAGTCAAGGGCTGTGTCTTCTGTTTTCCTATCACCATTGACAATCTTTCATATGAATATAGCTTTCATCAGTAAAGCACATGCTTTCACTTATTTTCTCATTGGATCAGTGCTGATTGGCATTCTCTCCCACCAGCCTTTTAAACAAAGGAATCTCTTCATTATTAATTCATTTAGAAATATTTGTTTAGTACCTATTATGTACTAGGCAGTGTTCTAGGCCCTGGAAAAACACAGTGAATAAAACTGACAAAGTTCTCTGCCTGCATGAAGGCCATTTTCCAGTGCTACAGCCCAAGTATGTCGGGTTTAACATAACCTCACTTTGCTGCCTGGCTTGTAATGTATTTAATCCTCAAGCAAACTTCTCAATATTTAGATTTTTAATAAAGCATGTGAGAATTCATGAAGTATGGCTTTTAACTTTGAATCTATTTAACGTTAGGTCAACTATCACCCATCTTTACTACCTGTGAATGCCCAAGGTCTCTGACCTTTACCAAAACACATATTCTTGCAAGACAATGCTTTATTTACAACACACTTATTTCAAACAAAATAAGTCTGGTCAACTCACACTCTGTTAGTGGACCTGGCCAACAAAGGTCGTTGCTAGTAATTTTCTATGAGAAGAAAATGTTTCTCCCAGGCATTTTCAGAGGATATCCTTAGAACACAGCTTTATCTGACCATGCCACTGACAAAATGCCTTAATGCAGGTGTCCATCATTTAGCTGGCAACCAAAACAGCAGGCAGCTTATAGGCAGTGGCGCTGGCTAAGAAGAGAGGCCTGGTTGGCAAGGATGGGTAATGTCTTCCTTGTCCTCTTGTCAGTATCTTGCACTGTCGACACCTCTGTGCTAGTGGGAGCTCTCTTTCTTAAATTCAAGGCCATTCCTCTCCTTCGCACCGGAGACACTCATGCTAAAAGTTCATGGAAAGATTTATGTTATCTTTTGATTCTATTTTTCCACTAATTTTGAAGTTCCCTCCTATACGGGTATATACAAAGGTTGAAATTCTCTGAGTTAATTGGATATAGATGGAAAACACAGTTAGAAAAAAATAATAACCTGGTGTTTGACTGCAGTTAAAAGGATGAAATAAGAAAAAGAACCGTGAAATACAAGAAGAGAGGGTCAAGGAAAAGCACAATGTCAAATCAAGGAGGGATGAGGAGAGAATGTCAGCAAAGCTGTGTGATCAGATTGAAAACTAGGTCAGATGTCAGCAAAGCTGTGTGATCAGATTGAAAACTAGGTCAGAGAGAATGATACCTGTGTTATCCACAGTTCTGTTTTTATTTGTACGAAAACATTACCCATGTGTTAAAATGTCAAAATCTACAAGGTTTGGGCCGGCCCGGTGGCGCACTGGATAAGTGCGCCGCTTGGGAAGCGCGGCGGCGCTCCCGCCCGAGGGTTCGGATCCCACATACAGACCGGTTCCCGCTCACTGGCTGAGCGAGGCGCGGGAGCAACGCCGAGGGTTGCAATCCCGTTGCTGGTCCCCGGTCCGGTACGGGGGCAACACTGAGGGTTGCGATCTGTTGCCGGACACGGAAAAAGACAAAAGACAAAAAAAAAAACAACAAAAAAAAACCAAAAAAAATCTACAAGGTTTGAACCTCTTCAGATTATAATTTTGTTAAGAACTAGAGTCCTTATTAAAATATAATTTGGATTATTTTGCAATTTCTCTCTCAGATGGCTGGCATGGAAGTTGGGAAAAAGATTTTTGCTATTAATGGCGACCTGGTTTTTATGAGACCTTTCAATGAAGTGGATTGCTTCCTGAAATCATGCTTAAATAGCAGAAAGCCTCTAAGAGTTCTTGTGAGCACCAAGCCAAGGGAGTAAGTTGTATGATTTATATGAGATGTAAAAAAATTAGGCATAGATGAGTAAAATGGAAAAGTTAACTAAGTAGATGATTGGAGTTAAGTACGTTATTTCTTAGAACATTTAAACCTCATCAGCATGACTAACACTGGTCATTACGTGATGCTGAAAACCATCTTGCTTATGATAATAAAATGTTGCTTGAATCAGGTAGTGTCAATAGAAATAAAGCTTTCCGTTTGCTGCCCCAATTTTTCTCATCTGGGTTGGGTTGTGTGTGATCATATGTGAAGAAAACTGGTAGAAAACTTGAGAATAAAGAACTGCATTTCTCCATGTTCAGCTATAAGAATTACTGGTGCTAATAGTAGATTAGCCCCCATTTATGATTAAATGCCCATAAGAGATAGAATCAAGACTGAAAGACACTGCATGCTTGCATGTACTTAGTAATATGTCCATTCTTTTTTTAAAAAACTTCTATCTATCATCTTATCTCCCTGTGATTATAAAATAGTTCATGTTTATTATAGAAAATTTAGAGAGCATGGATTTTTCTAAAGGAAGACATTTTTCTTATAATATCACCCATAAATAACTATCATTATTTTTTTTGGAAATTCAGTGTTAATTGATTTTTCTAAGTATTGATACACATGGAACATATAGACAACCATATATTTGCAAAGCAGAACCATGCTTCATATGCTGCTTTGTGATTTTTTTTTGAAATTAACAACTTATTACAGATATATTTGCAAGATATTGGCTTTTCTTCTGCAAATCATTTCCATTGATAGTCTAATATTCCCTTATCAGATTTATTACGAGTTGTTTAACCAATTAATCAATTGAGATAATACGTTTAAAGTGCTTAGCATAGTGTCTTAATGTTCTATGATTATATCAAAATTACTGCTTAAAGATTACCTACATAATTTATCAGGAGTGATAAGCAACTTCATTAAAATTTTAAGATAAATCAAGGCTATCACTTTAAAAACAAAAAGGATTTTTATTTTACTAATTATAAAAATATTCTAAGTATATATAGTAAAAATACATATTTATATTAAAAATATATTTATATATAGTTATATATTTCATACAAAATATATTCAGGATATACATAGTTTATACATATAAAAATATATATTTAGTTATATATAAACTATATATAAAATATATATAATATTCAGGATATATAGTTTATACATATAAAAATATATATTTAGTTATATATAAACTATATATAAAATATATATATCAGGATATACATAGTTTATACATATAAAAATATATATTTAGTTATATATAAACTATATATAAAATATATATAGTTTATATAAAATATATATAGTTAAATATATTTTATATATATAGTTGTATATATATTTTATATATATAAAATATGTATAGTTATATATGTATAGTTTATATAAAATATATATATTCAGGAATAGCTTTGTCAACTGGGCACTGATTATCTTAAGTTAAAATACATTGTAATAGGCTAGATTCTCTCTAGTCAGTCTCTTTATGGTAATGTTAAGTCATTAAGGTAGACACTTCAGCTTCTACCAACAATTTACCAAGTGATCTGAAAAAGTGAGTGTAACTCATTAAAGTTCTAATTTAGGGAGATTGGGCTAAAGGACAGCAGAGAACCACAGGAATGTCTTCCCTCTAGACCTAATTATGATCTATTCCTCCCTCTTTATCCAGCCATCCTAGTTGCTTACCTCCTGACACTTTGAGGACATTTGGACAGACTGGAAAGGAAGAGGAGACTAGCATTCCAAAGCAATCACTATTAAACATAAAGGCCCTCCCTATTGCCCCTGATTTAAACCTACAAATACTGGTCCACTGATTATAGACATCACAAAAGTTAGAAGACTTTGAGGCCATCCACTGTAAAACTAAATAGATCAGGGCAAAACCTCAGTTGCAGAATTAGTCACTAGATGAGCAGAGTTGGAACCTGTGTCTTACAACTCCTCCCTCAGTGTTTGTTGTGCAGTGTCCAGAACCCTAGATGCCAGGTTCAAGCCTCTCTTCCACCACTGGCTGGCCCAGTGTGTTATTCCAAAGTCCTTATCCATAAAATGAGGATAAGGGTGCCTGTTCCATGGAGCTAGGGAGAACGTTAAATAACTCTAGATTTGTAAAGACCTTAGTGATGTCTTCAGCATGTGGTAAGTATTCTAGAGATGTATATGATGCTCTGATCTGTTTTCTCATCGCATTTTGTTTCATTGCTTCTTTACATCAAGAGCATATTTAGTATTGTATTTAAAAACTTTTTTGAAGATGGCATACTCATTTTTTCTTTTTAATGTGTTTGAAATTTATAACCTTTCCTATATATCCTTCATCTAATGTATGAGTCCTATAAATCACTATCATATTTTCTTACAATCGACTCTTGTAATTTAATAGTATCCTGTTTTGAGGGAAAAAGGCAAAAATATGAAAAGTAAATACAACAGATTTTTTTTTTTTGATTCTAGCTCTATTTTACACTTGATAACATCAAGGAATTTTTTAAAAGGCCTTATAACAGATAATGTAGTACACTTATTTTCTACAAGAAATAGAACTTTCCTCTTACGTAAATTTAATTCTTCTTTGAATAGGCAATATTGTGTTCTCACAGTGGAAACATGTTCTCCAAAAGATCATTTATAAGGGGAGTTCCAACATTTTGACCAAAATTCATTTCAGGGTGGTTTGTACAATTTTTATTGAGAAAAAATATAATAATCTTCTTGAAGATTAGGGTAGGGTCAACCTTCCGTAGCAATATTAGAATGATAAAAAGACTTTGCTCAGAAAGAGTCGAGAGGCCATAATCCAAAAGCAACAATAATTCACCATGTCCTGAAAGCTCTAAGTTATCTCATCTGAAATGTCTCTAGTTTAAATTAACCAGAGAATAAATTGTCCTCTACCTTGTCAGAAGTGGAGTAGGAGTCTTGCCATCATGAGTTAAAGAAAATGTATTAGCAAAAGTGAGCTCTCATTCATAATATATAGATGTATGAACTGCCTCTGGTTTTGTTTCACACTTAGCAGAATATGTACTTTTTTTTTTTTTACCCCTTATGTTTCATTTTCAAGTGTGTCTTTTCAAGACACTAGTAGCTATATGCTATTCAAAGGATACAGCCCTGGGCCGGCCCGGTGGTGCACTGCTATAGTGCGCCGCTTGGGAAGCGCGGCGGCGCTCCCGCCGAGGGTTCGGATCCCACATACAGACCGGTTCCCGCTCACTGGCTGAGCGAGGCGCGGGAGCAACACTGAGGGCTGCGATCCCATTGCCGGTCCCGGTCCGGTACGGGGGCGACACTGAGGGTTGCGATCCATTGCCGGACACGGAAAAAGACAAAAAAAAAAAAAAAAAAAAAAAAAAAAAGAAAAAACCC